CTCCAACTGGATCCAGGTGACCCACTCTAAACCCTAAACCCTAAACCCTAAACCCAAACCCAAACCCTAAACCCTAAAACCCAAACCCTAAACCCTAAAACCCTCTACTTTCTAAAGCCTCTATGGCCGTGTATGACTGTAGGACTTCCGGCCCGGGCCTGCAGCTGCTGCAGGTCCTCCACGTCCACCTCCGACACATGCCGGGCTTCTGAATATTAGGGTTTTGGGGTTTAGGGTTTAGGGTTTAGGGTCTGAATATTAATATTAGGGTTTTGGAGGTGAGGCTTCGAGTTTCGAGGTAGGTTTCTTAGGGCTTGAGGCTTCGACTGCCCCTGCTTGAGAAACCCGGGCGAGGCATCTGAGCACGATGGGCTAGCAAGCAAGCTACCGCATTGGGCAGAACATGAACAGATCGACATACTGACGAGGCTGCAAGTACACACTCACTCCGTTTCGCGAGTGCGTATGAGTGGCCCCTTATCCAGTCACTTCCACGCACCCAACACCGAACGAATACACAAAACCACATTACGAGCGGCCTAGGTCGGATACGGAGGGTCGGTGAAACCTACAGCAGTAAGGACTGCTTAGACTACACGGAGGACACTACGTGAGACTCGCAAAACCAATTTGTAGTCTGCCTGGTAACCGACCTAGTGGGAGAAGCTCATGCCTTTTGCCCGAACTTGCCAACAAACCTCTTGCACTCATCCTCTCACCGGCCACGAAATGAAGAGAAACCTCTGACTGAACCTACTCCATGTGCGTGAAGGCTAGGAGCTGAAGGGCTTGGAACCGGGGCTACGGACGAGGTCCGAAGTTGTTGCCCATGGGAGTGCCTCTGTCGTCAGCAATCGCTCGGGGAGCTTGTCCTCATCAGAGCTCACGAGATGTCTGGATTTAGCTTTCGAAGCTCAGATCCCAGCAACTCTTTGCTCATCATGTTGCAAGCGCCGAGAGTGGCAGCTGCCGCTGCTGCTGCTAGTGTCGTCACTCAAAAGCAGCGTGTGGTCGTGCTAGCAACAGCAGCAGCAGCGGCACAGCGGCAGTGGCAGCGGCATCATCAGCACCGGAATGAATCTTGGTATCGGCACCAGACTGTGCACAAACAGTGCAGACACTTTTCAAGCACCCAAAAACCCTGCGCACGTAATTGAACTTTGACACCTGAACCCCTGAATTGTCTCTTCAACCCGAGCCCCACACCCGAAATCCGAAAATCGAAACCCCATATCCACAGCCCCGAAATCTAAAGCCCCTTTGCAGCCCTAAAGCCCTAAACCCAAACCGATAGACCCCTCCAAGCAACCCTGGACATACCCTTTTTAAACAAAGCCGTGTAGTTCCCCCAGATTACACAGCTCGGCGCGCGGCGGACGCGGCTAGACCACCGAGGAGCAGGGTTTCGAGGGAGGCCAAGGCCTGGTCCTGGCATGGCACGATCTTGCCTGTCTAGGGTTTGAGGCGTTTAGGGCTTAGGGTTTATGAGGGCTTTGGGATTTGGGGGTTTTGGGGTTTGGAGGTTTGGGGGTTTTGGGGTTTGGGGGGTTTTGTGAGTTTGGGGGTTTTGGGGGTTTGGAGGTTTAGGGGTCGGCACTCACAACCAGTGGATGAAAAGGTTCAACCATGCTTTGTGTTGCAGGGCTTTGCGTTGGAAAAACCGCAGTGCTGCGTCGAGACCCAAAGTGGCTACGGCTTCGGGCTTTGGCTTACAAGGGCTTTGTGATGAGGGTTTGCAATGGGGCTTGTGAAAGTAGTTCGGGTTCTTGGAGGTTCAGGGGCAATTTCGGGCATGGATTGATTGTCAGAGTAGATGCTTCACCTCATACGTATGGAGAGAGAAATAGAAGGAGAGACAGAGAGAGAGAAAGAGAGATTTATTTATATATATATATATATAAATATATATATATATATATATTGCAGCTCCTGCCCCAAGAACATTTGTGGCGAGTTCGGGGTGTCGAAATGATCGTGTGAACAAAACTGCAGTTTCTGGCTTCGGGTCACACGGTAACGGCACACCTGTTAAAGGCTTTGAGTGTTCCAGCATGCCTTATGCGGCTCTCACTATTTCTGGGTGCGGGGCTCGGATTTCCAGGGGTCGAGTGCGCGCAACATACCACAATCCGGAATCCCGACCCTCCCAAGCCCAAACCAATAAACTGAAGAAACCCTTAACCCAGGACAATGAAGCCCGAAAATTTCAACAGGTCCCCAATCCTACTCCTCAAAAGGCTCGGACAGGCTTGATCCTACGGGTCCATAGACCGCGCCCACCTTCGACCGGCATTGCTGGAGGCAGTGCGGCAAGAGGTCCTAAGGTGGCTTCCCAACCACTCTCAACACCGATCACGGCACCTCAAAATAAGTCAGACCCACTACAGAGGTTTTTGATCAATCCCTCCACAACCGAATTCTGAGACCAGTCTCATTAGGAAGGCCCCTTTACTCACTTAAAACCCAGCGGTCCAGGGCTGGATGGAAGAATGAGAATTTGTGCTTTAGACTGAGGCCAGTGGTGCAATGGCAGCTGAAACCCACAACCAGCAATTCCTAGCGTGAAAAGCCAAGCCTATTCCTTCTTCCTGGAACGCTAAGTTATTTGTTGCCGAGCTTGCCTTAAGCAATTCCTATGCGCTTCACTGGTCCCTCCATCGACTGGCTGTTGCTCGAGGTTGCAGCATGCCTTCTCTTCGATATGAAATCACGTGGTCGATCTTCGAATGGAGATCCGACGAGGGTGGGGATCACGTCGTGGAGACCGATTCTCTTAGAAAATCTGTAGCTGTAAAGGCTCCAAGCTTCAACATTCCACAATCTTCACGGGCCGCAACCCCTGACTCAAACCCTTGAGCTCCTCAACCCAACCTTCTAGCCTACTCCGCTTACGAACCCATAAGCTTTTGGGCACGGCATCCTGCCACATGGGCAGCGCTCCTCGCCCAGGAAATGTCGAAATCGCCCAATATGCTGAAGCTACAGGCTGACACTAGTGGATCCTTTATCGTTTGAGAGGCGTAGATTGTGTGTATTATTGTTGCGAAGCCTGTAGGCCTCGGGCCTGCGGGCTCATCTGTGATCGCTTTAACCGAAAGGCATGCTCCAGGCTACGGGGTTTGGGCTACATGCTCCCTCAACCCTAAACCCTCAACCCTAAACCCCTAAGACCACCAACCCACCACGGCCCAGTGCACTCACATTCAGTCCAGCCCCCTCTGGAGCCTGGCGAGCCAAACAGCGGCGACGCATAGAGATTCCGGAGGTTCAAATCACACCAAAAAGGCCTTAAAAAGTAGGGGAACAAGGTGTTAAGGTATCGGAGAATTATGGTAAACTGATACTGAGGAAGCCTGTGGAATCATTCGGGAAATTCTTCAGGCCCCTTGTTGTAGACTAAATTGCCCTGGCCAGAATCCTATTGACATGGCATGCCGCTAACTAGAACCATGCACCTGAGATTCCTAACTTGAACAAACCACCGACTCCCTAAACCCCCTGTAAACCCCCTGTAAACAGCAAACCCTCCATAACCCCGGAGCCTTCCCTATAGAAACACAAAACCTTACATATGAACCCCAAACCTTTTCAAAACCAAAATTATCTAGAAATGATGGGGCCATCTTGCGTTGCTCTGCACGCGAAGAGCCCAAGCTAACCCTCTACTAAGGAGCCATTGCCAACACTCGAATCGGGTTAGGTTTAAGATTTGGTGGTAAAGACGAGGATTGCTCCACATTTAACGGGCTTTTGGACAAAGCTGCTGGAGAATGCCTGGGAGCGCTTTGGTCGGAGTTGACTGAAGACTTAAGGGTTTGGGAATTAAGGGTGTCTTGGGACGTTTTGGGTATGAGATGGTTCGGACCCAGCACCCACGGCACACAGCCCGAGGCTAGACGAGCCAGAGTAAAACGCCAAAACTGTGACGTCTCCCAAGTACCAAGCCCCAAACGGGTTGGATCGCTCGTGGTCTGCAATGCAACTGCAAGCTTGCTCTGAGATGTGCTACAAATTCTCACCGAACTTTGAAAAGAAACAAATCCATGCATCCATTCACTTTCTAGAAACCCCGAGCTCCAAACTTGGCCTCCAGCCCACAGCCCTGCCTCCAGGGTCCCAAACGCTGCCTTCGCATGCACTCGTTGGCTGAACCCACATGTGCAAAATTTCGGAAGGTTGAGGGCTTGCGCGTCGGCGCGCGCAGGGGTTCGGAGCACGTAACTTGGGTATGTGATGTGGTGTGATACTTCGGCGAACAAATGCGAACAACACGGGCAATAAAAACAGCAGGGTCCCAGACTGTTGCTAACAACAGTGTTTGGAGACATCCAGGACCTGCATTCAAGTTGTAACACACTCCTGCAGCTGATGTCCAATCATGTCCGAGCTGCGCAACATCACACCGCATGGTGCAAGAATGGTGCTTTCACGGTTGTTTACTTTTGCTATCTTCGATCGCGCCCTGCGTCGAACGGCAAGAACGCCAATCGTAAATCTACGTCAACACATGGTTCGTTGCTCTGCTGCGCATGCTGATGATGCCACGATCTTTCGAGCATTCCTCCTGAACCGTCGTTGCTGACACGTGCCTCCAGCCGGGATCTGTACCTCCAGAATCATGAACTGAAACAGAAAAAACCATTTTTTGAAAGCTTGCTGCGACCTTTGATCAAACTTCCACATCAACTGATGACTTGTCATGTCATGTCATCGTAAAAAATGCACACACAAAAGCGAAGTTTCAGATGGTTCACAGAAAACACGCCCAATGAATGTAATCTGTAGCGCAACCGTAAACAAGCCTCTCACATTCCATGAAGCCTGGGACACGCTTTGTTCCGAATGCACGCTCTCAATTTGCAACCCTACCGAGGGCCCGGCCAATACGACGGGATTGAAATCCTCTGCCCGGAATCGCCGCCAGCCTTCCGAAAGCATGGAAAAACACAACGCATGCTTGCAAACGCGTGCAATGCCGGGAGCCTGTGCCGCCTCTGTCGTGTGGCAGTCTTCCGTGACACCGCTCCTGCCATCGCGAAGGCTCGTGGCGAGCGCTCCCATGCGACCTATGTGAATTTATGCCTTTTCACGTGGTCTGTCCTCGCCAATGGCAAGTGACCTCGTGTCCTGTCCAGACTTGAATACCGCTGACGGGGCCGCACGCCGCATCAAAAATCAATTTGGCCCTTGCGCTCCTGGCCTGTGCTAAAGTATTGTCCGGCAAGAGCGGCCAAGCACCACCCGCTGACAAGCCTGGCAACAAAGATTTGGTGGCCACTTATCCACAAGCCCTCGTGCTTGGTACACTCCCACACACACACACACTTACTTTGGCTTTTGGACACACTCTCGCGCCCTATCACGCACGTCTTTCGCAATGCCCCAGCTGCCACCACACACCTTCAACCACCTCATGCGGCCACGACACTAAAATCCATCTCCGCTCGGACCGCCGCAACGATGTCCTGACGGGATCATGCCAACAGCGCTTACTTGGTCCAGCAAAACACTCAGCTGAACCGTGAGGCTGCTGATTTGTGGCAAAACAACGCTTCGCATCGCCTTGCCTTCGACACGGGGCAGCGTCCCAGAGGGCATACACTGCAACGGCCACGGCGGAACCATGCCTTCCGCACCGAGCCATGCACCCACTCCTGCCCCCATACGAAAACGCTCCCGCCTTGATGCATTCGGAATGGAAACAATGGCCGCAATCCAACCGCCGGACCTGCTGACTGTTTCCCACCTCTTGCAAAAATAAAAATTGACCATAAGGTGCCAGCTGGAACGATATGTTGATTCTATTCCCGGTGCACCCTCGCCGGCATCACACACGGTCATGGTAGGCCTCGGGGTGAAGTGTCACGTCCGGTCTGAAGACACAAAACGTGTGTGCGAAACCATGGCAATTCGGAGTGCGGAGGCACGTGAGGCAGCGCACACAAGCCTCTGAGCAGCATTCTACGGACTCCCCGCCGGGTCTAAATTGCTTCTACCGCGCCTCTACTGTAGTGTAATTTTTTTTTTAAACTGACTTTTATGTCTGCACGGCTGAGTC